CGAGTAGGGCTGTCTCCACCCACATCGAGACTTCCACCAATCACGAGTAGGGCCGTCTCCACCCACATCGAGACTTCCACCAATCACGAGTAGGGCCGTCTCCACCCACATCGAGACTTCCACCAATCATGAGTAGGGTCGTCTCCACCTACATCTAGACTTCCACCACTCACGAGTAGGGCCGTCTCCGTTAATCATGAGTAGGGCCGTCTCCGCCCACATCAAGACCTCTGCCAATCACGAGTAGGGCCGTCTCCATTAATCATGAGTAGCCCCATCTCCACCCACATCAAATCCTCCACCAATCAGGAGTAGGGCAGTCTCCACCCACATCGAGACGTCCACCAATCACGAGTAGGGCCGTCTCCACCCACATCGAGACTTCCACCCATCACGAGTAGGGCCGTCTCCACCCACATCTAGACTTCCACCAATCACGAGTAGGGCCGTCTCCACCCACATCTAGACTTCCACCAATCACGAGTAGGGCCGTCTCCGCCCACATCAAGACCTCTGCCAATCAGGAGTAGGGCCGTCTCCGCCCACATCAAGACCTCTGCCAATCATGAGTAGCCCCATCTCCACCCACATCAAATCCTCCGCCAATCAGGAGTAGGGCCGTCTCTGCCCACAAGACAAATTGTACTGCAGATACCCCTTTCTCCACGGGGGTGGGCTTTTGCTCATTCAGAGTTTAAGACGTTAGCTACTCTCAGTACCTCAACAGTGAGTAAAACTCTTACTTTTAATAGTATTTCTGTAGTATTTATTTCACACTTAGTTGTAGTACTTTTCAGTGTTTATAAGAGACGTCAAAACATTGTTTCTATGCAGGAAATACCAGGTAGAGCTCAGCTGTTGTTTACTAGCGGTGCTCAGGAAAAAGCAGTAAACAATCCCTCCTGCTTGTGAGCTGACATTTTCGGGGCTGTGTGCTTTTCATAATAAAACACAGTTGCATTGTAAGCAAGGTTTTCACGAAGCGAAAACGGCCCAGGTCTGACCCAAACGATGACCKCATCTCGACTCAAACAGATACTGTATTTGATTTTTCCTGCAGTGCGCTCGGTGTTGAGGCATTCCCTCAGACTTCAGGAATTCCAGAAAGCTGTTTCCATGCTGTCATGAGCCTGTGTTTATGGTCAGGCCTGGTGTCTCCTTGTCTCATGCTGTAATGTAACGTAGTCATTTTGTGGAGGGGGGTTCCTGACCGCGCACACCAAATATGTACAGTACAGCGGAGCGCGGGGGCTCCCGTCTCAGCCGAGAGCGCTGTGGTTGCGTTTGGCCCGCCTGAGTGGGAAGCTGACCGTTCATCGGGTTTTATTACAGAAGGGGGGGGGGTCTCATGGGTCAGAGCCATGTTTGTGTTTCTGATGTCTTAACTACACAACAGATGAGTGACATGTTGGAAACCAGAGAAACAAAAACACAACTGTACCGACTGTCTTCCAGCTCGCTTCCAAACCGTCAAGACTCTGACAACAGCTGTGAAACAAATATTTTATTACATGCAGTCATGGGAAAAACAAAAAAAAAGTTAATCAATTCTAAGGGTTTTTAGGTATCAGGAGGCACAGACACAATTCCAAGAAACAAAAGAAAAACTGATGTTTTTAAAATATAAATAAACGCAAAATAAGGATTTGTAAATCTCACATCAAATGTTCAAATAAATACATGAAACCGTTTAATTTAATCCAACAACAATCTATTTACTTTTCTGCATTTATGAAGCCTAATGCACCCACATACCATCAGAGAAGCAGGTGATAACTGATAACTTGGATGGTCCCACTCTACAAAAATCCTGGGCTACGGCACACCTACCGGCTGATGTGACTTGCTGAGGAAGCTGAAACTAAAAAACACTGAAACAAAAGCCAAAAGTAGCTAAATGATGAGTTCGTAATGCCCTTTTGCTACCTCTTGCTAGCCTTTGGCTACTTTATGTTTCTAGATAATATTTTGATACATTCAGCTAGATTTTTGTTCTATTTTATATGTAAGATAGCTGCTTTACCTTTTAATGTTTTTTTACTTTAAACTCATCTTTTGTTACTTTTCRCTATCGTTTGACCTTTTTGAAACATTTAGCTTAAGCTACCAGCCTGATCATTAGAGCTGATTCGTAGCTRTTTTGTTACTTTTACCTTCTTGCTAGTATTTTTCTACTCTCAACTTATAACTAGCCTATTGCTACATATAGCTAGCTCTTTACTACTGTTAGCTACACTATTGCTATGCTAGCTTTCAAATTGCCTTTTGATATTTTTAGTTAGCATTGTTAAATTTATCTTTTAGTTACCCCTTTGCTGCTTTTAGCTAGTTTTTGATACACTTAGCTTTTAATTAGCATTTTTCTTTTAGCTAATCTTTAGCCACATTTGAAACATTTAGCTTTTAGCTACCAGCTTGCTCCATTTTATAGCTATTTTGCTACTTTTACCTTCTTGCAAGTATTTTGAAACTTCTAAATAGCTAGCCTTTTGTTAAATTTAGCTGCTTTTAGTTACCCTTTTGCTATTTTAGCTTTTAAATAGCATTTAATTACTTTAATTTTTTTAACTTTTAGCTACATATTATAGCAATTGTTTTACCATGTTTAGCTTTAAGCTAGCCTTTAGATACTTAGCTTTTAGCAATAATATAGCTGCTTTAGCTTTTAAATAGCCTTTTTCTACTTTTAGCCAATCTTTTATTCACTATATTTAAATCCACAGACAGCTGTAGCTCCGCCCATCTTACGTACCTGCAGCTAATTAGAACAATAAAGCTCATGCAGCTGTTTCTTTATCGAACCTCTTACAATAACTGGATTTGAAACAAACTGAGATGTGCTGCTGCCATGAAATTTAAAATATTTTGTTTTGACAACTCCGGCAGTGAGAACTCTGATGTTTGATTGACAGGTGTCTTTGAATTGGTGGCTTCATGAACGTTCTACTTCAGGTCCTCGGTCAGAAACGGGTTATAAATCTGTGCTCGTCTCACAGCCTGTCAGAGTGATCTGAAACACGCAGCTGGAAAAAGAAAAAGAAGACCCTCTGGAAATGATGTCACCAAAGTAGGCCAGCCAGCGTCCTGCAAGCCTAACGCCGAGCCCAGTGGACTTCAGCTGAAAAAGTCCAATTATAGAAAAACGTCTCGATTCGAGGTGGGCCGGCCCTCGATGTGTACCAGTGTGGTCAGAACAGAACAGAGCGGTGCAGAATCACAGGAAATGCTTCTCATTCTCCTGAAGAGTCGCTACAAAGACACAGGAAGAGCAAAGAAGTCGGACAGATAAGACCACCGGAAGCTGTAGGAGGGGGGGGTCCACCATCCAGTTCAGTGGGACGAACATGACTGACAGGGAGGATCTCAAGAGGAGAACACGTTTTGGATGTTTTAGTTTTAGAAAGATTTGCTGTAACCCTGATCCAAGATGGCCGCCACGTTACTCAACGTTGGTTAAAATCTGTCCGGTGGTTCATGAAAGTTCTTACCAACAGACAGATATTTTATACGATCACCTGTGTTGCTCCAAAGTCCATCTTTATAAAAGAACTCACTTTGCACGAACCTCATTTTCATAAAACTCCTGCCGACTAAAAGCAGAGGACAAGGTCAACTTGATGCTTTCCATCGAGATTAGAGAACAAAAACAACGCTGATAGCAAAATGTGGAGAGAGTTCAAGTTCATTTAGATCTTTTAAAACAAACATCAGAATGTTTACAGGAAGTAAAGAAACAGTTCAACTGAGTAAGGGCTGCTGAAACTGAATATTTAAAGCCAAAAGTAGCTAAAAGCTAAAGTTAGTGTCTTTTTGCTACCTTTACCATCTAGCTAGCCTTTTGCTACTTTAAGGTTCTGGATAAATTTTTCTTCTTTTAGCTTTTAGCTGCCAGTCTGCCCCTCTTAGCTCCTAATGTCTATAGCCTTTTGTTGCATTTAGATAGCTTTTTGCTACTTTCAGCTATCTTATTGCTATGTTAGCTTCTAAATTATCTATTTTAGCTACTGCTTTGCTGATTTTAGCTAGTGCTATCTAAAGCTCTTAATTAGACTTTCTACATTTACCTATTTTTTGCCACTTTTCACTATCAGGTACATTTTTGCTACTTGTAGCTATTTGAAACATTTAGTTTTTAGCTACTCTAAAACTACTTTAGGTTTTTAATCAACTTTTTTCTACTTTTAGCTAATCTTTTGGCACTTTTCACTAACAGCTAAACCTACTTGTAGCTTTTTTTCAAATTTAGCTTTTAGCTATTTAATTAAAGTTTTTGCTCTAAATGCTTAGGAGATATTTTACTAACAGGCATGCACATACTAAGTCATTTACATTATTGCCCAACTTTGTTGTGATTTTGTCACATTTTCAGTGGATGGTCACAAAAACAAGTTTCTTGTAACAACTTCTAATTTTACTTTTTCTTTATGTTTAGTAATTTTCTAAACTGTTTTGTAGGGGAAAAAATAGTCATATTTTTTTCTGTATCTTGAAAAAATAAAATTTGGTCAGTCTAGGGGAAAGAAAGAAAAAACTCAGCTATGTCATCTTCATTACCGCGCAGCATCCTGCTGCGCTCTGATTGGCTGAAGCCTCCAGGGGGGCGTGTCGTCCTCCCTATAAAAGCGGCCGCTACTCCTCTCAGTAAACAGAACGGTTCGGCTCCAGCCAGAAGAGACGCAGTAACAGCTGTCAGCAGCGGAGTTTTGGGTTTTAATTCGTCGACACACAGACCAGCGGGACTTTGGAGACATGCAGCACCTGGTCCGCCTGCTGTTCCTGCTCAGCAGCCTGCAGCTCCYCCGGCTCGCAGACGGCTGCTCGTGCGCTCTGACGCACCCGCAGGACGCCTTCTGCAACTCCGACATCGGTGAGTTCATCCCTCAGATACTCTCTCCTCCTGATGGAGGAAGGTTTAAGTTTAAATCAACCGTGAGCTTCAGTTCTGCATGTTTTATTTGCAAAACTGAACTTATCCTGTTTATATGGTGTCTGTTAGCAAAATATTTCAAAAACTACTTGAAAGATTTTAATGAAACTTTCAGGAATTAACCATTGAATGAATATCTACAACTGATTAACTTTTTGACTCAACTGAATTCAACATGGCTGCCACAGCCAACTGAAACCTTAAAACGCAAAAACTGCTATAATTCAACAAATTTTACAATTGATGAGCTGAAACTTGGTGTGGTAGTAGCTGAGACTGATCCACCCTTTATTTGTTGAGATCTTCCTGGTGGAGCAAGATCTGCATTTAATACTTTATCAATAACCTTTGTAGTCAACCTTGACTGTCTGTTAGCAAAATATCTCTAAAACCACAGAACGGATTTTGATGAACCTTTCAAAAATTAGTCGTTAGGTTGACTTCTACAAATGATCAACTTTTAGAGTTGACCCAAATGAAGTTGGCCGCCATAGCAATGGATTTTAACTGACACAAAAATAGCTATGAGTCAGTGAATCTTGCAGATACAGAGCTAAAATTTTGAATGGTGGTAGCTGAGCGTAATCCCCAACAGAGTTGTAAGATATTTTATTAGATTACACAACACTAGCTCAAAGGATAAAAGTAACCAAAGTCCAGCAAGTATTTTTCTCAAAACCCCTCAAAGGTCACATTTGTTTACATAGAGAAACAACCGAAGTGTCTGCAAACAGCCATTAGTTTCCCTCCCGAGGCTACAGCTGCCTAACTCAACTTTCCACGTGGTTCTGCTCAGACCTGGTCTTTGTTTACATCGAGTGCAGACCCACACATCAGAGTTAAACAAATATTACTGTAAATCTACGAGAGTAAACTCCCTCAAACTGCTCCATCTGAAACCCTTCAGGAKACTTTTACTTTTATTTCTGTTGTATTTGACATGAATTAGCTTTAATCTGATTTTGTTTTGAGAAATTACCGAGGTCATTCAAAGCAGCACGTGTGTTGGAGGAAGGAGGCGTCCCAGTTTGTTTTCCTTCAAAATAATTCGAACTCGGGACGCGGCTTACACAAACACCTGAGGATTACGGACTGAACCCCGCAGGGAGCGGAGCCGCTCAGGGTCCGAGCTCGTTCAGACGGACCCGTTTTATTGGCTGGACGATAAAAACGGATCTGAGGGTTTGTTTCTGGATGCTGAGCTCTCAGCTCAARCTGCAGCTCCACTGTTTTTAAACGAACGTACCTGCTGCAACGACTTGATTTGATTATGATACATATATGATATATAATAATATATCGTGATATATATCTATATCGTGATATATCATGATATATCACGATATATGGTGATATATCATATGTCATGATACGTATATCGTGGCATATCGTGACATAACGATATATGCCACGATATATCAGGATACATCACGATATATCGTGATATATCATGATAATGATATGTCATGATGTATCGTGATATATCATGATAATGATATGTCATGATGTATCGTGATATATCATGATAATGATATGTCATGATATATCGTGGCATATCGTGATATATCACGATATATGCCACGATATATCGTGACACATCACGATATATCGTGACACATCACGATATATCGTGACACATCACGATATATCGTGACACATCACGATATATCGTGACACATCACGACATATCGTGATACTGTAAGCAAGACGATAAATCAACATTTTGTCTCCAAATCCTAATTTTTAAAAGCTCAGTATAAAGAGAAAACTACACAATTTTTTTTTGCAATCAGAACTGTTTGAATTTCACATTTCTTCTTACAACCATTATATTAAAAATCAATACATCATCAGCGATAAAAGCAATAAAATATYGTGATATTTCAATGTATCGATATTTTCTTACAGCTCTAGCTTTGGATGTTTGAGAACTCCCTCTGACCTCTTAGTGAAAATTTTCTGTAAGAAAGAAACTGAAATCCTGTTCTTGTGTTCTGAAGTCTCCCGACTAAAAACAAGCACTTCCTGTTTTATTATCTGCCTCGTCGAGGCGCATGACGAGGGGGCTGAGAAGATAATGTGACGAGAGAAAGCCTGTAATTTCTGCTGTCTGCTTCAAAGTCGACCAAAGTCTGGATCGTCCAATTTTAAGACCGGCAGTGGAGTTCAAAGCTTTTTTTTTTTTTTCTTTAAATCCTAACCTATAATCACCTGCAGGCGCTCTGCTGGATAAAAAAACRTTAGGGAGAATATTTAGGAGCAGTTTACGTGGGATTTCATCACCGAGCTACTCCGCAAAACTCATGGACACGAGCTGTCAGCTGTCGTTTCAAAAATGAAGGCTCCAGCTGGTTATGGCGGCCATCTTGAATCAATTTAACCCTCAAAGTTAATCAGCTGCATGTCCAATGATTTGCTGAAAGTTTCAATTAAATCTACTTGGTTCWTGAGATATTTTGCTAACAGACAAACCAATTTGACACCAACCCTAAAGCCTCAGTAAAGTTTTAAAGTTTAGGCCTATTTCAGTCAAAAATTGCTTTAATTTAACTAAATCTGGATTTTCATTTTGCTCTACTTTTTAAAGAAGATGCTGAGGGTCAAATTCTGATGGTGGAAGGGCCACTTCTGGCCCTCGGGCCTTATGTTGTAAACAGTGTTCTGTAGTATGGATGATAGGTGCAGGGTCCCGCCATCCCATAATAAGCTGTGTTGCGTAAGAGGGGGCGGGGCTAGAGGTGTCAGAGGGCCCAGATTCCACACGAGCCTGAGATGTTTGTCCCCCTGAGCCAAGCGGATCCGATGACCGGACCCCTCCTCCCCACACTGTGGTAAACACACGGACCCCGCTCCGTGGTTCTGGTCTCAAACAGAGGGGGGCCCGGTCGGGCGGGCCCAGAACCGTACACAAATACAAAAACCAACAAACAGGGAGCTACTGACTCAGTCGCCCTCAGGGAGGTTAATGTTTGCTTTTGATCTGAGACGGTCCGGTTTCTGTAAAAACATTATGAACGATCAGTATCTTACCTGCTCTGGATGGCTCTTTGAAGGCGCTAACTTAACAAAATAAGATCATTTAGASTTTTATGGCATCTTTAAAGAGTTGTTCCAGGAGGAACAGACAGTTGTAAAAGTTAATTAGGTTCATTAGAARCAGGTCAGTGAGAGGACTGAGTTTTATTTATATACTTATTTAAAGCGATTCRACACATTTTATTGACAAAATAGTTTTAACGTTCAAAGTTGAGCAGAATCAGGTTTGATTGCAGCCGATGCCAATACGTTTAGTAATGGTTTCCGTTTTTAAGCAGACATTATAAACTCTTCCATCATTTCCAGTACTCCTACAAATTAAAACGATCRTGTTTTATTTTGAATTTAAACAGCTGAAGCAGAAATCAAACGTTGCCGATTTTTAGTTTGATTTCATGTTTTTAGATTTAGGTTTTAAAAACAAAAGCACAGCTGTTTTCTCTTTGGGATTTTATTTTGAAATAAAGAACCATACCACATAATGTGTGGTTTTTAATCTGTTAACGTTTGAATGGGTTATTTAACCCTGAGCTCGTCCTGCAGGATTCTGTTCGTCTCTGTTGGTAGAGTCGTCCCTCTTCCTCCCACTTCCCGCCTCACGTTGGACGTACTAAAAGCGGTCACCTACACCCCCCGCCTGGCTGTGTCTTCTCGCACATCCACAGATGAAGAACCGTGTCCTCGTCGTGTTTGTCGCTCGGTACGGAGGCTGACGGGAGCGTTTGGATCCAGCCTCATGTAATCCTCGCTCTTGGCAGGAGACACCAGGAGAAAAATGGATCCATTTCATTTGTTGTCAGAGTCTGTTTMCGTCTCCTGATGAAAGGCCTCCCACTCCTCAGAGCTGATGTTCAGAACCATCAGAACCAGGATCTGCTCCTGATGCAGGTTCAGCAGGTGTTCAGGACAACTCTCAGCTACTACCACAGCTGTTTTTGTGTTTGCCAAGGCTGATTAGCTCCGGAGGCCGTCGGATGTTTTGCTAACAGACTTTTCATGGCTGAAGCTTTAGTGAAAGGTTAAATCACAGACAATCAGAAGTCTTGTTTAATTTTTCTCCAGACATGAACAATAATTAATTTGGTCGTGTTTTGTTAATAAGTTATGATTAAACTCGACTTGAACTTTAAACATTTTTAACTCTTCAGCATCTGAAAACACTAGCATGAACCAGACCTAAATACTAAATATTTCATTTTATTGTTTATTATTTTAGTCACTCATTTATTCAAATATTCAGCGTATTCAGGAGATATTTTAAACTTTAATACTTTTTAAAATATACACCTGTAAATATAAATATTCAACCCATTTCTTAAGTTCCCTCAAAACTTTTGTTCTCTTTTAAAATCTTCAGCCAACAGCTCTGTGTTGGTCATTGTAATATAGCTAGCTTTTAGCTACCGTTCTGCTAGTTTAAGTTTTTAGCTGCTACTTTTGCTTCCAGCTAACCTTTTGCTACTTCTAGTCTTTTAGCTAACCTTTTGTTGCTTTTAACTTTTAGCTCATTGTTGCTGCTTTTAGCCAGGGTTTTGCTACTTTTATCTTTAAAATAGCTTTTTGCTGCTTTTAGCGTCCAACTCTTTTAAGCTTTTAGCTAGTATTCGTCTGCTTTAYATTTCTAGCAAGCATTTTGATGTTCTAGGTTTCTAGCTGGCATTTTGCTGCTTTTAGCATCTGGCTATCTTTTTGCAACTTAACTTCTATTTAGCCTTTTGCTACTTTTATATATAATTTTTCTGTTTCAAGCTTCTAGCTAGCTGTTTGGAACTTCTAATTAGCTTTTTGCTGCTTTAGGCTTCTAGCTATCTTTTTGCTCTTTTAAGCTTCTAGTCAACATATTGAAACTTCCAATTTCTAGGCAGCTTTTTGCTGCTTTTAGCTAGCATTTTGCTCTTTTAAGCATCTGGCTAGCCTTTTGCTGCTTCAAGCTATTAGCTAGCTTATTGAAACTTCTAACTTTTTGCTGCTTTTAGCTGGCATTTTCTTATTTTAGGCTTCTAGCTAGCCTTTTTAAGCTTCTAGCCAGACTTTGCTGTTTTGAGGTTTTAGCTTGCTTTTTGCTCTGTTAAGCTTCTAGCTCATACTTAGATTTTTTAGGCTCTATTTAGCCTTTTGCTACTATAAGTTTGCATTATACTATTTTAAACTTATAGCCCATCAAGACTTTGTAGCTTCAAGCTAATGTTCTTCTTTTAGCTTCAAGCTAATGTTCTTGTTTTAGCTTCAAGCTAATGTTCTTGTTTTAGCTTCAAGCTAATGTTCGTCTTTTAGCTTAAAGCTAATGTTCTTGTTTTAGCTTCAAGCTAATGTTCGTCTTTTAGCTTCAAGCTAATGTTCGTCTTAGCTTCAAGCTAATGTTCTGTTGCTTTTAGCTTCTTCAGGACTCAGGTTTCACACATCATCTTTGCAAAAGACTAATTTTTTCTCGTTTTAAACTCGGCCTTTCTGGTCGTTCTTCATGTTTTCAGATGTAAAAACAGCTCATGTCTGTTTTTAGCTTGTTGCTTCAGTCTGAGTAAAGATCTCCAGAGGATTACTGTAATAACCTCGCAGCTCAACCAACTTTCTGTCACTACTTCCTGTTCAGGTTTGTTTTAGACCAAACAGCCGAAGCCTCGATGCACTTTCTGCCCAGATTTGTTCTGGGGGGGGACGTGAGCCCCCCCAAAGAATGTGGGAAGGAAATTCCTCTGGGAGCAGATAAACACTTTTAGTTGTGTCTGTCAGCTCCGTGGTCAGCAGGTGAACTTTACAGGACCGCTGTTTCATGCAGGACCCGCAGCCTCAGTCGGGTCCTAATGGATCCTGGTTCCGGGTCCTTCACAATGAGCTCCTTCACTCTGGCGGGAGTGAAAGCAAACAAACCAAAACCTCTGCCAGGTGCTCATRGCTCCATGTGGGTTCTGATCTGTGGCGCTAATGAAGATGAAATGTTTTGACTGTTGTGGCGTCTAAAATCTTAACTTTAACTCAATCATTGTTTAAAAACAGTCCAGGTGAGGGTTCCTGTCAGGTACACCTGATCCAAACCCAACATGTCTGTCTGTTCACAGTGATCCGAGCCAAAGTGGTGGGGAAGAAGATGCTGAGCGACGGGCCTTTTGGAACCATGAGATACACAGTGAAGCAGATGAAGGTCAGTCTGAGCCCTTTACACTTCAGTTACAGGTCATAACTCAGGTCTGTTAGCAAAATATTTCACAAACCACTAGTTGAGTTTGAATGAAGTTCAAAGTAATGACTGGATTTACATCAACAACTGATTCGCATTTGGATTATATTAGCTTTAACCAATTGGCTTTAGCTAACACCAAAATCGATGTTGTTTAAATTTTAAAAATAAAATTTAAAARTAAAATTTGGTGTGGTGGTAGCTGAGTCATCCCAACACAGACTGAGCTCTCACAATTATCACTTAACCTTACTGTCGGCTCGCTATTCCGCTAAAACTGAAACTAGCTTTTTGAGCTAGCTTAGAAAACCATTTGCGGAGTGATTAGCTTCGGCTAATTTTAGGTTAATTAAAAAATTCACAAGTGTAAAAATTTTATTTTTTATGCCATTTATCATAAATTTAAAAAAACTATCCCCTCTAACAATCAGTGCTGGACCTGTCAGGCACCGTGTGTGTTAGCATGTAGCATCTTTAGCTGCTGAACTTCAAGCCAAGTGTGTCTCATAT